CTAATGCGAACGTGTTACTAATTAATTACTTCTGCGGAATGTAACACGAACTCATATAATTAAATTAAATCATTCGGGAATTATTACAAATAAAAATATAATAAAATAAAATTAAAAATAAATAATAGATAAAATAAAAAACTAAAAATAAAAAATGAAAAACTAAAAAAAACACTAACAAGTAAAAACAAAAACCATATCATAAACAACACAAGTTGGCGAAATGGACTGAATCAGAAAATTAGGCAATTGTAAACATAATTCAAAGTGTATGTGATAACTGAACATAAAGCCTTTCTTTCTTTTAGTCAGATCTCCCAATCTTGTTGAATAGTATAATCCTATATAGAAATAGAGAACAGGCATTAGAAAATACTATAGCTTAAAGTTAAAGCGAACAAAATAAAATGTCAGCACATTAAATATATACATCAATCTTCATTGTTTGGAGTTTTGAATCATTTCACACTTTTCTAATACCAAATAATATGCTTTCTTCAGTTTATCAATTGCACAGGATCGGTGTGCTGGGTGAATCATGTGGAAAAAACCTAGAGGTGTTGCTGTTGGAGCTTATGATCATTTTTCATCTTCGTTGGTAGTATCTTGCCATAAGCAAAAAAGACAGAAATCATTATTAGTAAAGCCTTAGACAAAATCAATCAATCAATCAATCATCGAAACAGGTTGCTGATTACAAAAGCCAGCTGTCTCTTGATGACAACTCGCCATTGCTGGCTTCCAACAGGCTTAACCCTGCTGCAGACTCCTTTGTACTCAACAATCCTCTTCCTCATTCTGTGCAGTAAAATCAGCCAGCTGCCTCTTGATGACAACTCGCCATTGCTGGCTTCCAACAGGCCTAACTCTGCCGCAGACGCTAGGGATGGTATATAACATGTTATAAATAATTTGAGGGGTATATACCATATTTATACCTGGTATATACCATGGTATATACCACAATTGATTTCTTGTGTAATTTTTTAGTAGGGTATATACCGGGTATAAATGGTATATACCTTTGGTTGGTATATACCACTAATATGTAATATGTAATAAGATAACAATTTTGGTTTGAATATTTATTTATAAGAAATACTAATTGCAATAAACTTATGTTATATATCTTCATAGATTCTTGATTGCTACTACTATCTTCTAAATTAATAAATTCATCAAAATCATTATCATCATCATAATTTTCACCATCA